GGATCATTTAATATTCTGCCCAAAGCATCCTTGATACTCTGAAAACCTCCTGGAGGGTCAGTTATGAATTGGTACATGACATGTAAGAACAACAGCATCTAGATACTGGCCAAAACAGCTCCATGCAGTTTATGGAAAAAGCACTAAAACATCTTGAATCTGCTTCTGGAAGCCACTTTCAGCCTTTAATGGAATGACTTGGGAACTTAGCTGGATTCCTGGGTCTTGGGAAGGCATGAGAATGCCGTGAGGCAGCTGGGTGGAGGGGAAACCGGCAGGTGTTAAGATGACCCCTGACTGACCCTGTCTGGAGAAGGGGAAACAAGTCGCCCCACGTATAGACCACGTGTAGACGGAGGGCTTCTGGCTGCTCATTGGCCATTCACTTTCTCCTGCCCCCCTGGCCCCCCTTGTAGTGAGTGTGGGGCTGAAAGAAGAATGAATAGCTGCTGAGCACCTTCTCTGTCCCAGGCACTATGCTGAGAGAGCACCTTCTCTGTCCCAGGCACTATGCTGAGAGTTCCGAGATTATTAACTCATCATCCATCATGTCCGACAGCCCTCCAGCAGAATCAGGCCCAGAGCATGTTCCCTCTCTCTAAACAGGAGCAGCAGCTCCATGGTGCACACCTCTAGGGGCTGCTAAGAGGATCAAGAGAAAGGGAATTGGAAATTGTGGATTTGTTTGAAAAATGCTGCTTGCTAACATTCAGTGAGTAGCTGCCAGCACACTTGGGGGTCTCTGGGGGCATGGCCTTGAGGGAGTTGCACTGCCAACCCAAGGCCTCCAGCAGCTCCAGGGGTGAGGAGCAGGCTCCTCCCATCCTATTTGTTTATAGCCTCGGAAGCCTGCTGTGCATTAATTCTGACTTGACTGCAGTGAGTTTAAGTTAGATTTTCCCCTTCTCTCTCTAAGCTTTAGCCGGCAAATGTCTGAGAGTGATGCGCTGTAGGTTTCCTGGTGATCTCGGCTCCGCAGGATTGCCTCAGTGGGTCCACACCTGAGAGACGGGGGAGTGTCTCGCATTATAACTTCCTTTATAATATCCATCACGCCTCGCGCCAGAATGCCTGTGGATTCTCTTAAGAGAATTAGATCAGCTGATTTGATTTGCAGATTCATTTTGCTTTTGACTCTCCAGGCTGCTTAAAGGCCACTCGTTAGTTTTGGAAAGAGTGCAGCCTGAGTGCTTCTTGGAGGCAAAGATGATGAAGCTTCGTCTCTCATACTTCGGGCATGTTTCTAGGAAAGGCTTTTCTTTGTAGAGGGACATGATGCTTGGAAAGGTGGGGGGATAGGGAAAGGGAGGATTGACAGTGACTGCAGCAGTGGCCTCGAGCTTAACAGATGATGAGGACGGCACAGGATAGGGCAGGGTTCGGGTCTGTTGTTCATAGTGTCGCTAGGAGTTGTACTTGACTCGATGGCACATAACAACTACAATAGTTAAATCTTTTTTTTTTTAATTTATTTTTTTTTATTATTTTGTGTGCGTGTACCGTCAAATCAGATCTGACTGGTACAGGAGGATATTGCTCCTCCTTCTCCGGCAGAGCATCTGGTGGATTCGAACCATGCACCTCTGGGATTGCAGTGCAGCTTCTTGCCACTAGGCCACCAGAGCTCCCCTTACAATAGTTAAATCTTTTCCGCAAGATCCCTCTCACTGCTTCCCTTACCTAGAACTCTCTGGACCCTTTGCCTTTCATCTCTGTAAACTAGGCCTGTCCTAGACATTAGATCACCTGATTGATGAGGATGCTGATGGCAGGCACAGTGGTCTCTGTTCATTCCTCAGGGAGTCCCCTAGCCTGGGACAGGGTCTGGACCAGGCAAGATACTGGATTTCTGGGAGCTCAGCATAAGATGTGTGGTGGGCAGTCAGCAGATTGATTACCTTTGTGCCCTCAACATGCTCATTGTTCCCCAAGGTTCTGGTGCCTGCATTGTTCTGACTAGGGATGCAAAACCCCTCGGCTGGATTCCTGGACTCTTCCCTCACTGGCTGTCCAGCTGTGGGCAGTTCTCTCCAAGCCTCAGTTTCTTCAGCTCTAAATGGGGATAACTAGTATTAGGGTGTGCTGGTGCTGTGGTCTGTAGGGAGTTGTTCTGCTAACCCAAAGGTGATGCCTCTCCAGTGGTTCAAATCTACCCACTGACTGCTTCAAAGGAAAGAGGTGAGCTGCCTCCTTCCATGTGATTGACAGCCTCTAAAAACCCACTGGAGAGCAGTTACGAGTCAGTTCTGCCTTGACAGCAATGAGAATAATACTTAACTTGGGAGCACTATTGTGAAGAGGAAATGTCAAGCATTATGTTTCCTGTTCGTGTGTGTGTGGACAGGACAGTAGGTTTCAGCACAACAAGGACAGGCCACCTCCATGGTCATACATTATCTGCCATGGCTCCCACATAGCAACTGGCTAACCCCAAAATCAGCAGATAGTGCCTTGCTCACACCGTCCCCAGCTCCTAGCACAGCTTTCTCAGATCCTGCAACCTCACAGCTCCAAAGACGTAATCCTAGCACAGGGCTTTGCACAGAGTAACTGCTCCTAACAAGTGTTTGTTTAGCCAAAGGGATAAAATGAAGCCTTCTCCGTAAAAGTCCTGAAACTCACAGGCGTGAGGAACTTTGCAGGCAGGATGGGGAGAGGGAGAGAAGGGAAAGGGATTCTTTGTACAAACAGGACTTATCTTCAGCATCTACAAGAAGGGCTACTCGATTCTCTCCCCCAGACTTTACAGAAAATCACGCTGAGTTCCTTTGTGCTGAGAGTTTAGTCCTTGGGTTTGTCCAGAGGCCCAGCAAGATGAGTAACTGCCCTCCGAGGTCTGCAGAGGTCCTTTCTTGAGAGTTTGTTTGGAGGTTCTAGCAGGGGAGCGCAGCTACTCGTATTCCCTTGACCGAAGGACAGTCTTCCTTCTATCCAGATGGTCGTCCTCTTCAGCTGAGCACTCAGTTTCGGGAGGGACGCACATGGATCAGTGAGGGAGGAAGGGGACACCCGCCTTGCCAGCCAGATCAGCCGAATCAACCCTGGAGATCAATGGGGTGACAGATGTCGCAGCCAGATCGCCCTCACATCCCAGAGGTCCTTTCTTAGCCATCATCGAGCTGTCTCTCACTCTCTTCCCTGTTTTCTCCCAGGCCTCAAATCAGACCTCAGTGTGCGGCTGCACGGCCAGCATTTGGCCCAGGAGCTGGTGCTGAGAGCGGTGAGGGACTATGTGGAGACACCGCGTCCCAGTGGAGCACTGGCCCTCTCCTTCCACGGCTGGTCTGGCACCGGCAAGAACTTTGTGGCCCGGATGCTGGCGGAGAACCTGTACCGGGACGGGCTGAAGAGTGACTGTGTCAAGGTGTTCATCTCTATGTTCCACTTTCCTCACCCCAGATACGTGGACCTGTACAAGGTGAGGCCAGGCGGGTGGCTTTGCTGGACAGGGTTAAGAGGATGAGGCTGCCCCAGCTCAAAGTGGCCTCTGGGCTGGGGGTGGGGGACCCCTGACATCACCTACCTTACAAAGAGGGGGACACAGGAGAAGCCACTGTGTGTTAAGGTAGGGATGGGGTGCAGGACGCTGTTGCAACAGACCCCGCAAGAGACAACACCTACTCCGTGCATTTCACACAGATGAGGCCTTGAGATCTAGGGGAGACTGCCGTTCCGGACTCCCTGGTCCCAAGTTCTTTCCTTACCAGCCATCCACAGGGCAGACACTGTGCATAAACAGAGAATCCATGTGTGTGTTGTTCTGTAAGCAAAAAAAATTTGCCTTGCAGAAAATGTGGAACAGAGAAAGAAACCTTTACTGTAATCTCCCCACAAGCACACAGTTCAGTCAGCATTTTGCTGTAATTCCTTCAAGAACTTCCCCTGGACATATGTGGCTTTATGACATTATAATTATCCTGGACAGAAAGTTGCATAAGGGACTTTAACATTTTAAGGTGGAGGGAACAGCTCCTCATGTCTTCTCATATGGTTCTTTATATGCCAGCAAGGAGATGGACAAACGGGTCCTTAGCTGCTTTGCTGTTTTAAGTTGCTTCTAATTAAAACATGTGGTATTTAAAGTCAGCCAGGAGATGATGAAAACCCCAGGCAGAGGTGACAGAGGCCTGGCAGAGGTGACAGAGGCCTGGCAGAGGTGACTGCACTTAACTTGGCCTCATTTCTAATATTTGGATTGTCAGACTGGGAAGATGATGTAAGGCTCTGTGGACAGCTTGCCCAGATAACCTGGAGGTCTCACTGTGGCCTTGGGGAGCCAGAGTAGGGTGACATGTCATGAACCCCAGCTGTCCTAGGGGCCCGCGACCAGTCAGCCGGGCTTTCCCAGGAGGAGCTATCTGGCCAGGTCTCTGGAAAAATCTGAAAAATCTGTCTCCCACCGAGGAAATGGACACATTGATATTCTTTCCTACCCTCTCACACACCATATTCACTCTGGCTGAGGTCAGAGTCCAGAGAGGCTGGTGTGAGCCCCTTATCATACTCCTATTTATCCTGTACTCCTGATAAACCCTGAAAAGATGCGAAGGTGTTTCTTTTACCTGTAATTCAGAGCTTATCTTGTTGGGGCTTGGGGGATGCAGCACAGCTCCCAGTTAAACGTTGGGTAGGCACCAAACAGGCCCACCTCAAACTTGCTGTCCCTGCATCTCAGCCCAGCCTAAGAGTTCAGGACAGGGAATTCTCCAACTAGGGAAACACCCAAGGAGTTCTGGAAACTCTGGCTACCCCTGGGCACTTGAGACTCAGCTCGGTGAACTCAGACAGTTCATTGCTGTAGAGTTGGAACCAACTCATAGCTGATGCTCCAGTGAGTCTTGTTGTTGTTAGATGCCGTCAATTCAAGTACGACTCATAGGGATCCTGTGAACAAAAGATCTAAACCGCATTCCATCCGGTGCCATCCTCACACTTCCTGACATACTAGAGCCCATTGCAGCAGTCATCATGTCAGTCCACCTTGTTGAGGGTCTTCCTCTCCTTTTCCAATGCTCCACCCTTCCCATTAACATCATGTCCTTCTCCAAGGAATAGCCTCTCCCAGCAACTTACTCCAAAGTATATGAGGCGAAGCCTCATCATTCTTGCCTTCAGAGAGCATTCGGGCTCTACCCTATCCAAGACTTATCTGTTCGTTCTCCTGGCCTTTCATGGGATGTTTAGTACTCCTCTGCAACACCACAGCTCAAAGGTGTCAGTTCTTTTTCTGTGATCCTTATTCTTTGTCCAGCTCTCAGATTCATAGCAAGTAATTGGAAAGACTATGGCTTGAACCAGACGCACCTTAGTCCTCAAACTAACAACATTACTCCTCAATAATTTGGAGAGGTCCCTAACTGCAGATTTTCCCAGTACAGTGCAACTCTTTATTTCCTGAAAGGGTATTAATATTAATCCAAGCAGGAGGAAACTGTTGACAGTTTTAACCTCCTCTCCTTCCATCTTGATGTTGCCTATGGGTTCAGTGGTAAGAATCTTTGTTTTCTTGACAAACAATCCATAACAAAGGCTGCGTAGCTTGATCTCACCTTCAACAAGCAAGGTTGTGTCATCTGCATAACACAGATTATTGATGAGTCTCCCTGCAATCCTGATACCACACACTTCTTCATAGAGTCCAGCTTCTTGGATAATTTGGTCAGCATATAGATTGAATAGGTATGGAGAGAGAATACAACCCTGACACACTCTCTTCTCAATTTTAAACCATGAAGTGTTCCCTGCTCTGTTTTGCACAACAGCCTCCTGGTCCAGGTATAGGTTCTGCATGGGCACAATGAAGTGCTCTGGGATTCTCATTCTTCTTAATGTCAGCCCACATAGTCAAACACCTTTGTTTAGTCAATAAAGCACAAGAATCTATCTGACATCAGCAGTGATATCCCTGGTGCCACAGCCTCTTCTAAATCCTGCTTCAATTTCTGGCAGTTCTCTGTGTACTGTTCTAACCATTTTTGAAAGATCTTCAGCCATATTTTGCTTGCATGTGATATTAATGATATTGTTTGATAGTTTCCACATTCAATTGGATCACCTTTCTTAGGAATGGGAACAAATAGAGACCGGTGAACACATCCAAGGCTGCATCTGTTAATTGAAACAAGTTAGTTGGTATCCTGTTGATTCTTGGGGCCTTATTTTTTGCCAATGCCGTCAATACAGTTTCTACTTCCTCCTTTAACACCATTGGCTCCTGTTCATATGGTAGTTCTTGACATTTTTCAGTGTTAAGCAATTCTTTCTGGTACAATGATTCTGGGTATTCCCTCCATTTTCTTTTGATACTTTCCGGGTCATTCAGTATATTACCCATACCATTCATCTTTCAATAATTGTAACATGAAACTTAAATTTTTCAGTTCTTTTAGCTTGAGAGATGCAGAGGGAGTTCCCTTTTTACACTTGATCTTAGCCAAAAGGCCGAGAAGCGATGGGAGTTCCCTTTTTATTCTCCAATTCCAGCTCTCTGCACATAACCATTAAAATATTTTGTCCTGATCCCTTTGAAATCTTCTGTTCAGCTCTTTTACTTTGGCATGGTTTCCTTTTGTTTTGGCTTCTCAATACTCCAGTGTAGTCTTTAGAGTCTCTTCTGACATTCCATTTCAACTTTTTTCTTTCTCCTGTTTTTATAATGACCTTTTGCTTTCTTCATGAATGATATACTTAATAGTATCCCACAATTCATCTGATCTTCTCTCATAAGTGTTCAGTGCCTCAAACCTATTTTTAAGGTGATCTTGAAATTTAGGTGGAATTGATTCAAGATCATATATTGGTTCTTGAAGCCTTATTTTAATTTTCATTGGCCTCTATTTGAACTCACACATGAGTAATTGAGAGCCTGGGGAGGAGATTGCCCATCTTTCTCCTGCAGAGATCCTGGTGGGTTTGAACCACCAGTGAAGCATCCCCTTTGGGTCAGCAGTGCAACCTCATACAGACTATGCCACCAGAGTTCTCTTAGGGCTCTTGAGCCTAATCTACCTGTCACTCCAGTTTTAGAGCCTGACTCTTATGCCCAGAGGCAGAGGTTAGTTCTGGGACTAATCCCATTCTAGTGGGGAGGGAACATTTTACCACCCCAGCCTCGAGGACAGGCAGGTTTCTCACAGCCATGCCACACCCTGCTTCTCCCTCCACCCAGGCTGGTTCCACCTAGTTTTGCCTTCCAAACCTCAGGGTCCACCCAGGGATCTTATTCAAATACCAATGTCTTAGCCCCACCCAGAGATTTGGATTTGGTGATTCTAAGGTGGCACTCTGATGGCCCCTAGATGCTGTTAACGGAAAGGCATGCACTTTGAATCCACTCACTGAGTCATTTCTGACAGCCCCTAACGACAGGGTGGAGCTCAGTCCTGGGAGATCTACTGTAGGTAGCTGGGGAAATGAGACTTTGAACCAGTTTGGTACAGATCAGTCATGGCTGATCTGATGAGGTGAAACTGGAACAGACCCAGATTTATAAAATGTGAGTGTGCCAAAATAACTGGAATGGGAAAAATTTTGGGTCCACACCCTGCTAGAAACTCTCTGTCTCCAAGAAAACAAAGCAGCATACCCATTGCATGGCATCCAAAGGCAGAGTCAGAGAAAGTGGTGCCCAGCTCTCCAAGATGGTCATGTTATTTTGAATGTGTATCTCTCTCCACAGCCTTAGCAATAATCTATTACCGTGCATCAGGATGTTTTTGTTGTTGTGTACCATAGAGTTGGAACCGGCCCATAGCTGACCCTCTGGTGTGTGTTCAGAGTCAGTTGCACTGGAGGAGAATGCCCATCCTCCCACATCAAAAGGCTTCTTCCAGAAGAAGCAACAAGTCTTGCTTGGAGGAATTGCAACCAGGGTATCCTTAGAGACAAGGACAGTGACATTTTGTCTCACATATTTTGAGCATGTTGTCAGTCCTTGGAAACGGACATCTTGATGGGAAAGGTGATGGCTCATAGAGAGATGAAAACGCTCACAGATTGACACACGTGAGCTCTTGTGGCCTAATGGCAAAAAACTGCGCTGCAATCGCAAAGACACATGGTTCGAGGTCACCAGCTGCTCTATGAGAGGAATGGGCAGTCTCCTCCTGTGTGATTAACTGCCTCTGAAAACCTGCCGGAGGGTCAGTTGTGAGTCAGTTCTGACTAAAAGTACAACAAAGGGCTCAAGTGTATCAGCACTTGTGAGGGCAAGCTAGGGCAAGGTCAGATCTGCTGCTCCCAAGGTTGCTATGAGTTGCCTGGCACCTAAAACCACACAACCTCTTCCAAGCCTCCCATTCCAGGGCTTCAACCTGTGATGTTTCCAATTCCAATTATTGTTTCAGTACTCTCACAGGTTACAAATTCAGGTCTGTTCTGTTGGTCATGACTGAACTGGTTCAAAGTCCTGGGATAAACCACCATCCAAGGGGCTGGAAGGGAATGTGCATGCCACCGTTTCTAACCACTCCCTGTGTCCTGCTCAGGAGAAGCTGGCCAGCCAGATCCAGGAGACCCAGCAGCGTTGCCACCAGACCCTGTTCATCTTCGATGAGGCTGAGAAGCTGCACCCAGAGCTGCTGGAGGCCCTGGGGCAACATCTGGAACGCTGGGCCCCCACGAGTCACACAGCTGAGACCCCAAGAACCATCTTCCTTTTTCTCAGGTGAGATTGAGAAACAACAGTTTAGAGAGATGGAGGTGGGATAGAAGTAAAGAAGGCGTGTCCAAAGATTTTCTAACATAATTTGCATGCCCAGTCTTGGGAGGGGTTCCTCGCATCTTACATAGATGAGAGTGTCTGTGGTCTTCCTCAAGAGAAGCCAGCACAGACCCGAGGACAGAAAATAGATGCCTGGCTGCTTGAGTGGAAGCCCCAGGTCTCCCTCCTCCTGCCCCTAATACTTAACCCAAAGCCCTTCTGAAAAATGGGGCCCCTGGATTACAGCCTGGAAGACAGGCTATCCCTCCTCTAACCCTGCCTGGCTGCGTGGTCCTCTTATGCATGCTGAGGGTCCCCACAGTTCCCCACTGAACACAACACGTCAGGTAGGGGGTGCTGGGTCCTCTCTTACAAGGAAGTTACATTTTCAAGTCAGCGCAATAATTGAAAAGCAATGTAACTTTGAGAATTCCCAACAAAATCTTTGAGAGCAGCAGTGTTTCCCAGCCAGTTCTGCAGCCTTGGAAGGTCTGCCTTTTCTCTGATGACAGAAGTCACTGGCTTGAAATTCAGGGCACAATTGTTGAATCAAAAACTCTTTGGTTCTCCCCGAGCACAGAGATTTGCCACATGACTGGGCAGGATCAGGCAGTACATCCGATGCTTTTGTTCCGGTGTGGGCCTCGGGCTCTGCAAAAGGCTTTGTAAGGAGCAAGCTTAGAGATCAGCCTGTTCGACTCATCTTTTTTATGGAGGCTGAACGAGGAGAGCCTTGCCCAAGGTTAAATGAAAGTCAGACTAGGGTCCCTGTTGGCCCAACTCAAATGCTTCACAAGTGGCTTCTTGTACATTCAGTCAGAATAGAAATCACACCAAGGGCTCCTCCCTACCACACCCCTCATCTTCCCAGGCCAGTGCACTCTGGGGGTTTTCCCAGCTTTACCAAGGAGCCATCTGTTAGAGGGGAAATGGGGGCTGCTAGTTTGTCCCAGCTTGTAGATGTGAGGGAAGAGCTGTGAAAGGCAGATCTTGTTTGATTGTAGACCCACAAGTTGGAGCAGGTCTTAATTGTTGCTTGGGTGGATTTCAGCATGTTGGTGACAAGTCCTTGCTGTGTAAGGCTGTGGGACACTGCCCTGCCTTGCTCCCATCGAGGTTTCAGGAGAAAAGCTGAGAGGGATTTTCTGACATGATTTGAGTGCCCAGAATCCAGAGGTGAAGTCAGTAAAATGTCCATATTCATTTTTCACCTCAGCTTCTATATCACTTAACCATCTGAGATAGCCCTGTTAACTGAATGCAAGGGGTTCTTTCCATGGTCAGTTGTCCATAAGACAGACGGACTGCAATATCATAGGTACTTTATTACAGATCTGGGAGGACAGCAAGTTCCCATCAAACACTGCCTCCCCTGCTTCCTGGCCTGGGAGTGGTCATTAGGCTTTTTTACCAGCAGTGGGACACCAACTCACTTAACAATGCACTTTTGTTAGTATAATCAAAGAATTTCTACATTTGGAAAAAACAGTTCACATTTCAGTTCTACTAAACAGGCAACCTGTAATCTAGTTAACATATGACTGAGAAAAACTAGATGTGCAAAGATAAAAGTTAATTCAGTAAAGGATACTTCCTTTCCTGGTAAACAGTCAGATTAAGTGATGGGGCAGGGAGAAGAACTGTTTCAAAGAGGTAAACACTGATCTGGGAAAGATGCATTTCCTCTCCTGGTAAACAGAAAGCTTAAACTACTTTAAAGACTGAAGAAAGGAAACAAAGAATTCTAAGACAGAATAACCAGTTTTGTAAGCTGGAGAAAACTGATGTCAGCTTTGTTAACTGATATATATGTATAAGTCACAGGAGAGGAGATTGGCCATATTTCATATTTTTCCCTCAGAATCTCCAGGGAGGCATGACCTTTTCATGAGCAGTGCAACTTTCTATGGACCACTCAGAGGAGGTGCAGAATAACAAGGAATCACCTTGTGCCCTAAGGCTTATCTCTTAAATACTCCCCACTAAAATGAGAAGGGGGGGGGGACCGGGGCGGGGAGTTAGTGACTCTAAGGCATGTCTGCAGGGGCCCCTAATCCAGGAGTCCTGTTCACTTCTGTTCCTAAGCTTCTTGGGGTCTCCCCACTGCTGACTCCTCCGTGTTGTTGGTTCTCCTCTCTCCCACTTAGTCCTGATTTCTCGCCCGCCTCTAGTCAATGCTGCCGGCCTTTCCCACACTTGAGCCCCTGCCAGATTCCAGGCACCCTCGTCTTCTCTCACCTGTGCCAGGATTTCTAATGCGACCAGGTGATCGTGTGGTCTCTGGACAAGCATTTCCTGTTGTAGTATTTTGGTCACTGACCCACAGGCTGCACCTTCCACGTGGTCAGCACTGCCCTTTCCCCTAGTGACCTTTGTGGACCTGGCAGCAGAGTGACGTGGCACGGACACTGAGCTGAGGACAAAGCCCTACGTGGAAGCTGTTCACAGGGGTGGAGAGGCTAAGCCTGGCTGCAGGGGGGTGTTGATGGGTTTGGGAGGACAAACACCGGCAGTGGGATGTGAAAGGGTCACTGAAAATGATAAGGTCTCCTGTTCGGGGGCACTCAGTGTTCCCTGCCAGTGAGAGCTCTTGTCTCCAAGGCCATAAGCTCTCCACTCCCTACCCTTGTGCTAGGGATTCCTTTAAATGCAGGGTTTCGGGGTATTCTAGTGAAGAAAAAGACCTGGTGATCTACTTGGAAAAAAGGAACTCTTAAAAGCCCTGCAGGAGGAGCTCTGGTGGCCTAGTGGCAAGAAGTTGCATTGCCAACCCTAAAGCAATCGGTTCAAATACACCAGCTGCTCCTGGAGAGAAAAGATGGGCAATCTCTTCCTGCTCAATTTACAATCTTTGGAAACCTGCCAGAGGGTCAGCTGAAAGTCGGTTGTGATTCAGAGGCACAAAAGCCCTGTCTGTGGAGCATAGTTCTGCGCTGACATGAGTTGCCATGAGTTGGCATTGATTCCATGACAGCTGGTCAGTGGAAACTAGGCAAGATTGTATTTGAATCTTTCCACTTGATTTCTGCAGTAAGGCTGCCCCCTCCCACTTCAGAAGGAGTTAAAGATTTTCCTTTAAAAATAAAACTATAGCTGATTGAGAGTTTAAAAACTCATCTCTCGAAAGTCAGAACCAGCTCACAACCGACCCCCTGGTGGGTGTTTAAACTGCAGGGGAGGAGATTGGCCACCTTTGGATTAGCAGGGCACCCCCCCAACGAACTATGCCAAATCCGCTTCTGTTAAAGGGCCTCCTGGCAAGAAGCTGCGCTGCAATCCCAAAGGCACGCAGTTCAAACCACCAGCTGTCATCCCTTCCAGTGTGATTAATTGCCTCTAAAAACCCGCCAGAGAGTCAGCTATGGGTCGGTTCCAGCTGGGCAGTACACAACAACAACAATACCAACAAAGGGCCTGGGTCCTTTGAAAGGACACCAGAGGGCAGGCCAGTGAAGCCACTACCACCTCCTGAAGGGGGAGGGGGCAGTTGAACCAGCTCAACTGCCAGTTACCGAAAACTGACACCCTAGCCCGTTTCTACCAGGTCTAAAGGCTGAGGGAGGCTGGTGGCGCCGTGTGGAGCGCTTGGCTACTGACTGAAAGGCAGGTGGTTTGAACCTGCTCACTGCTTCACAGGATGAAGATGTGGCTGGTGGGAAGCGGTCCTGAGGATTACACATAATGCTGCCAGAACTCCTTAGTAAAGTTAAAAGACTGCGCTATGTACCTCAGCACACAGAAGATACTAACTGCTGGGTTTGACTGTTGACTGGAGAACACCTTCAGTTGCTTGGTCTAATTATCTCATTATATAAATGGGGAAGCAAAGCCTCAGAGATTAATGACAGTCAAATTTTGAGTCTCCTCCTTTGAGGTCTTGGGGCTAAGAGGCGCTTTGCCTCAGTGCAGAGGGAGAGGGCTGGTCTCTGAAGATACTTTTCTGTCCTTGGTCACATCAGGCCTTCCAGTCAGCCAGCGACGTGGAAGAATCTAGCAGAGGCACCTGTGAGGGCAGCATCTGCCTCGGCTTGTAATGTTTATGTCAGAGTACCAGTCCTGAGGAACAGGGAGGCACGGTGACGAGACAGGGGTCTAAGGCTTCATCTTTGTGGGTGAGAGGACATCCACAGCCTGGGGGAAGAAGTCATTGGCTGTGGAACAAAACAAGAGAGATTCAAGGTTGGAGTAGACTGTACACAAATGTGCAGAGATGACCATTTATTTAATAAACATGTACTGACATGTGGTATGAGCTAAGCACTGCACTAGGCACTAATGTCACATAGCTATGCGGGCTAAACTTATCTTCCAGAGACTTCCAGTCCAGGTGGTTTTCTAGGTTGAGATGGGCAAACACTGGAGTCTTTGCCCGTCGGGTTGGGTAAATGAACCCCATTCATTTGCCTGTCACCCTAGAAGCCCTGAGACTATGTGAGACTCAGCACATCTGTGTCCTGTGGGGAAGGCAGGATGGGGTGACTGCTGGCAGTAGGGCAGCTCTTGCACAATTGCGGCCGTTCATTGTGTGCTGATTACCTGCAGACCTTCATCCATTGGTCACGTGCTGCCGTAATCCAACCCCTGCTGCCCTAGGAGGATCTTCTTAGGAAGTCAGCTGGTCGGGTGACCCCGAGCCCCACAGTTCTAACTTCGGAGTCCTTCACCCATAAGCTAAAAGCCCCATGTGTGGCGAAGGCCTCTTCGCCTTCATCTTGGCCTGCCTTTCATACCTATGCTCCAATCACTGTGTGCAGCTTGCAGCTCCTGAATCCCACAGTCTTTCTGATGCCCGTCTCTACCTGCCTCAGGTCTGCAGGTCTGCTAAGCACAGGCCTACATCTGCTTAGAAGCCTTAATCTGTTTTAGTCGTTCTTGCATTAGCATTTGCCACAGGCCTGGAATCACACGTGTGCCTCCGCGACGACGCTGAGGTCGGGTGGAAGCTGCACGTCCCACTCACCTTCGTGCTCTTGCACCTGGTAGTCTCTGTGTGCGTCATGTTACAGTGTCTTCTCTGTACAGAGCTGTGACAGTATCTCCCAAGTCCCTGAACCATCATTCCTCCAGGCAACAATGCATTGGCTGCAGGGGCCAACCTACCCATTTGGAAGCGAAATAGAAAAAAAGAACACATCTCTTAACAAGCTTCTGTATCTCTTTCAGTAACCTTGGGGGCAATATCATCAATGAGGTGGTCCTAAATTTGCTCAAGGCTGGCCATTCCCGGGAGGAGATGACGATGGAGCACCTGGAACCACAACTCAGGGCAGAGATTGTGCAGTCCACAGGTACCTGGCTCCCAGCCAAGCAGAAACGAGGCCACAGTTGGAGTGATGTGTGTTAGAATGTGTGTTTATGAAATAAAGCCTCTAGGACCAGAGAGGACAGACAACATAATCATCTCAGCTTTGGGGAGGCGTAGAGTATGTTGTCCAGGCATGGCTTTTCCAGGGAAACCTCAATTCCTTTTCTGAAAATACTTTTAAAGAGAGTAGTTTGCAGTGGCTCTGGAAATACATGCAAGGGGCTCTGAATCCTGGAAAGAGGGTCTCACATTGAGAACCTAACCTATTCACCTTCAGTCAGGTAGGCTTGATCGCTCCACCTGTAGTGCACGTCGGTAGTTTTTAGGGCACTCCTGCTCGCAGAGACAGACCTGCATGGTCCTTGACACATGTCAGACAGTTCTGTTGGAACTGGCCCGAGAGCAGACTTTAGTCTCAGGAAAACTCAGTTGGGTTCAGCTCCCAGAGTAAGACTGCATGTAACTTTGGCTAATTTTTTATTTTATTTATTTATTTTTTTTTATAGACAGTGGCTTTGGCCGCAGCCGTCTTGTAAAAGAGAACTTGATTGACTTCTTTGTCCCCTTCCTGCCACTGGAGTACCGTCATGTGAAGCTGTGTGCACGTGATGCCTTCCTGAGCCAGGAGGTCCTGTATACAGAAGAGGCACTGGAAGAAATCGCCAGGATGATGGTGTATATCCCCAAAGAGGAACCACTCTTCTCTTCTCAAGGCTGCAAATCTATTGCCCAAAGAATTAACTACTTCTTGCCTTGAGGGCCAGATGAAGACTTCCTACAGGAAGGTGACTTCTTACCACTGACAGGACCTTGGGGCCTATCAGAGCACTGGAACTATAAGAGGAAGAAACATCCAGCAGACAGTAACACACAACCAGCATATAAAAGGAAGGCCAGTTCCTAAAATTCCAGAGCCAATTACTAAAATTGCTTGGTGCCTTAGAGACCCTCATTCTAAAGTGCAGGCCAGGTGGCTGGAGAAAGCAGCGTGGGAGACAAACAGAGCCCAAGGGCTATTATGACATTCCTGATGGTCCGCTTAGCATCTCAGCTCTTCTGTGCAGATGCCTGGAGTTGGGACTCAGGCTGCAGGATCTCCCGTTTCAGAGAAGGGAGCAATGAAATCCTGCCGGCCCAGGGCATGGGAGAACGAACCTCAGGTCTGGAGCCTGGCTGGATTTACTTTCACGTTACCATTTCCAAAGCAGAGCTAACAGTGCAGTGGCAGAGAGCTTCAGACTGAGGGGTAAGGTGGTCAAGACTCAGTCAGGCTGCACCACCAAGCTCCCTAAGGTTCACAGGAGAGGGTGTGAAAAAAATCACAGGCTTGTTCTGTTTACACATTAAGAAAAAGTTTTAAAAACTTTTTTAAAAAAAACAAAAAACCACGCAACTTTAAATCAGGGTCCTAGATGTGACTATTTCATATGTAAAGATTAAATTTTTCTATTTTTCTAAAGCCACTGGCCTATGTTTTTTTTCCTGAGACCTAGTGACCATGCTCACTCAGCACTGTTTCAAATGCCAGGTAATACTGTTGGGGATTGGTGGAGATAAGGGGCTGATGCTGGCGGTGGTACTGGCGGGGCTGCCAATCTATTTCAGTTTGCTTTGGGATCCTCTCAGCTGAGTCAGGTTACATACAACCACCTCTCACCGAAGGAGGTTCCACAGCATTCTCCTGTTATATGTTGTTCTTGTTATGTGCCATCGAATCACTTGCGACTCATAGCGGCCCTATGTACAAGAGCCCTAAACTCTGCTCTGTCAGTTGCGCTGTCTCCGACACTCCCATCCCTATTACCCCCGTCACTGAATCAATCCACCTCATAGAGGGCCTTCCCCTCCTGCGCTCTCCCTCCACCCTACCAAGCATGTTCTTCTTCAAGGACCAGTCTCTCCTTACAACATGTCCAAAGTATGTTAGATGGAGCCTCCCGGTTTAACCCTTTCCAGGATGAATCTGTTTGTTTTCCTTGCAGTCCATGGTACTCTCAGTACTCTTCTTCAGCACCACAGCTCAAAGGCATCAATTCTCCTTCTGTCTTCCTTGGTCATTGTCCAACTCTCTGATGCATAACAAGTGATTGCAAAGACCATGGCCTGTATCAGGCACACCTTAGTCTCCAGAGAGACACCATTGCTCTTCAGTACTTTGGAGAGGTCTTTCCCATGGCAATATACCTTTTAATTTCCTGGCTACTGGTGCCAAGAGTGTTGACTGTGGAGCCAAGCAGACTAAAGCTGTGAACAATCTCTTCACCATCTATCCTGATGCTGCCAATTGGCCCAATGATGAGAATGTTTGTCTTCTTGATATTGAGCCTCAATCCATATTGGAGGCTGCAGTCCTTGACCCTCTGCAGCAAGCACTTTAGGTCCTCCTCAGTTTCAGCAAGCGGGGTTCTTTTATCTTTACTGTTATATACACACTCCTTATTCCAGTACTCAGATTTAAGGATTAAGGATTCCTAAATGTGTAAAGTAACCAGCATTTTGCCTAAACATTTGTGTTCCGTTGAGTTGGAGCCAACTCATAGCTGACGCTCCATTGGGTTTTCAAAGGTAAATCACACGGAAAGAGACTGCCCATCTTTTCCCAAAGGAACTGCTGGTGGATGTGACCTGAAGGTTGGCAGTGCAACTCCTTACCCACTAGGCCGTCAGGTGCTCATTAACTGTTTTTGCCTTTTGCTGTCTCCCAGTTCTGGAATAACATACATGTCTTGATACTTATATTTGTCATCTCAAATATCTCTCCTTTCTTAAAGCCCTTCACAAGCCCCTCACCCATCTCACTCAATGCCATTGAGTTAATTCTGACTCCCGGTGACTTTATAGGACAGAGTAGAACTGTCCTATAGAATTGCCAGGGATCCACCTTATGGAGCTCTGGTGGGCTCAGGAATGGCGCTCTGGTGGGCTCAGGAATGGCAACCCCAAAGCAGGCAGTTCATAGCCACTTGCTACTCTGTGTGAGTAAGATGGGCAGTCTCCTCCTGTATGATTTACAGCTTCTGAAAACCTCTGGAGGGTCAGCTATGAGTTGGTTCTGACTTGACGGCACATGATAGTGGAGTCTTAGAGAAGCTGATTGCCACATCTTTCTCTGGAGTGGCTGGTGGGTTCACACGGTCAACCATTTGGTTGACAAATAATGCTTAACCACTATACCACCAGGACTTCTCTAGAACGTTTAACCCTTATAAAATGGAATATTGCTGCCTGTCCTTCATGTAGCAGTCTGTTTTCCTTATCTACTCAAATAACTGCCCCAAGTTTAGAGCATCTAGCCTGAACTACATTTAGTTCATTCATTGCCATTGGAACTGACTCATAGCTGCCTCTCCAGCTAGTTTTCAGAGGATGCAAATCATACGGGAGGAGATTTTCTTTTTTTTTTTTTTTTAATTTTTGTGTGCGTGTACCGTCAAATCAGATCTGACTGGTACAGGAGGAGATTGTCCCTCCTTCCTCGGCAGAGCATCTGGTGGATTTGAACTGTGTACCTCTGGCATTGTAGTTGCAGCTCCTTGCCTCTAGGCCACCAGAGCTCCCCGGGAGGAGATTTTCTAACTTCTTCCTGGTGGTCATGAGCCAAAAAGGTACCAGCTTTGGGTTAGCAGCAGTGTACGTACTTCTACCCACCAGGTCACCAGAGCTCTCCGAACCACACTAGGCCCTCAGTAAATACTCAATTAAGGGAACTCCGTTTCCTAGCACTCAAGAAACCAAAGTAAACATTGCCTAACTGCATGCTAACAGAGGGCTGTTTTGGCTGCTAGCTCACTGCTTCATTCTAGAGTGTTTCAAGGAAAGAATAATAATAAAGAAATAGAAGAGTTGATGCCTTTGAGCTATGGTGCTGGAAAAGAGTGTAGAATATACTATGGACTACTAGGAGAAGAAACAGGTTTGTCGTGGAGAGGGTGAAACCAGGCCGCTCCTTAGAGGCAAGGATTCTGAAGCTTCATCTGACATATTTAGGACATGTTGCAAGGAAGGACCAGTTCTTAGAGAGGGACTTCATGCTCGAAAGGGTGGAGGGACAGTGCAAAAGAGGAGGACCCTCGATGAGATGGGTTGATTCAGTGACTGTGGTAATGGGGGGGGTAGGTGTGTCAGAGACAGTAAGGTTGGCACAGAATAGAGCAGGGTTTAGGGCTGCTGTAAATAGGATTGCTATGAGTCACAGGTGACTCGATGGCACATAACAACAATAGGTTTTAATCACATATACATGGTACAAAAATAATTTTCCTTAATAAAAATTTTTAATATGTCATAAGTAAATCCTTTAAAAGTTAACAAAAAGAAATATACAAAGCCACTCAATCCTGTTACGTAGCCATACTAAGTAAAGCTCTGTAAAGGGATCTCTGGTGGCTAGTGCTAAGCAGCTGTGCTTGCAATCCTAAAGGCATGCAGTTCGAACCCACCGCTCCACGGAAGGAGGATGGGCAACCTCCTGTGTGATTTATTGCCTCTGAAAACCCACTGCAGGGTCCAGCTATGGGTCAGTTCTGACTCGACAGCATACAGCAAGTGACTCTGTCATACTATTTAAGGTATACTTACAGCTGGTGTTAATATTCTGTCCTGGCTAGCCATACTTGTATCATAATCACAAGATCTGAACCTCCTGCCTAGAGAATGAAGGCACACGGCGAATAGTGGTTCTGAGCACATTCTGTGCAGCCAGACAGCCTGGGCTGGAATCATGGACCCCACCATTGACTGCAATGAGACAATGGGAAAGCTATCTAAACCCAGTTTAAATTTCTTTTTCAGTTTAGTAAAAATGGGGCAAAACTGTGTCTATGTAAGAACTGTGAGGATGGGATGAGCAATTTTTAGAAAGTGCTCAGGACTTGGTATTTTAGGTATTCAGGGTTGGTTGGTGTTGAGTACCATCGAGTAACAATCAACTCTGCTGACCCTCCAGCAGGTTTTCAGAGGCAGTTAACTGCCCTGGAGGAGAGTGGCTATCTTTCTCCCACGGAGCAGCTGATGGATTCAAACTGTTAACTTTGGGTTGGTCTTTGCAGTTACTTGCTATGCATCAGAAAGCTGGGCAATGACCAAAGAGGACAGAAGAAGAATCAATGCCTTTGAGTTGTGGTGCTGGAGAAGAGTATTGAACATACTGCCAAGAGAACAAATAGGTTTGCCCTGGAGAGGGTGAAACCAAGCTGCTTTTTGGAGGCATGAATTTGGAAACTCTGTCTCACATACTCTGGGCATGTGGCCAGGAGGGACCAGTACTTGGAGAAGGACATCGTGCTTGGAAAGGTGGAGGGACAGCACAAAAGAGGAAGGCCCTAGATGAGCTGGATTGAGCTGGTGAACTGGGGTAATGGGCGTAGGTGAGTCAGAGGCAGTGAGATTGGTTCAGGATAGAGCAGGGTTCAGAGCTGTTGTGCACAGGGTCTCTATGAATTGGCGTAGACTCAAAGGACACCACCACCACCACCTGGGGATTGAAAGCACAGTTTCTTACTACTAAGCCACCAGATCTCCCTATTCAAGATAGAATAGGAAATTAAAAATCTAAGAAAACTGCTGTGAGTTTTGGTGCCATATTCAAGGTAAAGGATGGGAATTTCCCCCCCATTTCTAAAGCTTGGGATCCTGGTTGGTTGAAGGTTCCTAACTACACTGAGGGGCCTAACACTTTTTTGCACTTACACATGCCATGCACTGTGCTAAATAGGCACGTCACAGCCATTGCCTCATAGAATTGGTAACTATAATTTA